CGTCATATTCTTTTGGAGTCACAGGCGCGAGAAAATGGAGCATGATCGTGACTTAGTTGACAAACCAGTGGAGGAGCCTGAGGTAGTTGTTAGTCCAAACTTGTTCACACGTGAGGTAGCACCCGAAGAACCAACATCCGTGCCCGCCGACTCAGGTGAATTCCATATGTAATCTTTGAACCTGTATGTTCAATCAATGCTATGATTATTACTTTAAATTTGCATCATAAAATAAACTATGTTTGATTACTATTTTTTAGTCAGCGTGTACTATATTTCATTGTATTTAAACTATGTGTGATTACTACTTTTAGTCTGCTTAGACTATAATATTTCATTTTTACTCATCTTCCAGAATCATAAATTTGGTTTCCAATATTAAATTAATTTATGCTTTGCTCATCTAGATACAGAAGATACTAAAAAAGATATATAACCTGTTGGGAATTATCAGATATCTACAAATGAGGAATTGCAATCAGCCTCTAACCAAAAAGTGGATACACCAGGTGAAATAGATGGATACACAGAATATTTCATCAGGGTAGACTATATTAGTCAGCTTAGACTATCTTTCATTATTAATCATATTCCAAAATCATAAATTTGGTTTCCAAAATTAAAATAATTTATGATTTGCTCTGCTGGATACAGAAGAAACTAAAAAAGATATAGAGACTGAGGCAAGAACCGAACCTGTTGGCAATTATCAGATAGTTAAAGAGGAGGAATTGCGATCAGCCTCTAACCAAGAAATGGATACACCAGGTGAAATAGATGGATACAGACTATTTCAACGCTCTTTAGACCACAATTATCCACAATTACAATAATCATTGTTTAATTATTCTTTACTCATCTGGATACAGAAGACATTAAAAAGTTTATAGAGAGTGATGCAAGAATCGAGGCCTCTACCCAACAAATGCAAAACAAAGACGATGCTGATATAATTACTCTCGCTCGTAATTGTGAAGATGATGTTTTGGAGACTAAAACCATAGTGGACACTGATGAGTCCATAGAGCCCACGGATTGGCTACACACAGAAATGATAATTATGTTCCAGGAAGTAGAGGGCCATGTACGATCCACACTGATCCATTGCCTACTTCCGGTGAGTAAGATTAGCACAACAACCTCATGCAATTTTTTAATAAAATATATATAAGGCATTTATTTATAGCTATGTTACTGTACTTATTATTTTAAAAATATTTGCAGCAGAAGTACACCTACCAGAGCGGGGCTATACTAATGAAGTTGTCCAAACCAAAGACGGATACAAGAAGCGGAAGCGTGCACACGAGGATGACGTACGTAACAATCTCTCAAGCAACTCAAATATCCTCTCATATTTTCTGCCCGTATGACCCATTGCATACTAAATGTAAAAGAATGGCGTACAAAACTGATATTATATATTGCATATGCAGATCATTATAAAGGATGGAAATGAAGTACAATACAAAGATAATGATGTACAAACGCCACGGCTAGAAGCCAATAAAAATCCAATACATGTCGTCAGTGAGATGATGGTGTTGCCTCAGTATAATAAGCCAAAGAAAGCAAACAATGTACAAGTCATACCTCAAGGTGATCCACCATCAATTTAAACCTATATGTCTTTAAATTTGGGAATTAATTAATTATTAATAAAAAATAATACCTCTCTAGATTATGCGTGTACGCAACAAGATGTTGAGGTAATTGAATATATGAAGGGAAAAAGTAAAAAGCATCTGCTTGTCAGAATGGATGATTGTTGGGGAGCAAGAGATGACATGGATTGTCTTTTTCTTGGGAATGAGCAAGTCAATGGCGCGGTAAGCATGTTTAACACTTGATTCAGCATTAACTAATGTCCATGGGAAATATCTGCCAATCTTGAAATGACAAAATAAAAACTTGTAGGTCATAAGTCTTTATATCCAATTGATGCGGCACGAAGAACACCTACTACATAGAGAAGGTGGAGATGTTTACTTGGAGAATACGTGGTTCTCTCAATTACTACAACAAGAGGGAGAGGAAGATGAGATGAACAAGAGCAGGATAAAAGAGGACATGGTTGAAACAAGGGTACAAAATTATTTAAATACTGATATGGTAAGATTTCACATATGCTAATTTTATACCCTTTCAAATGTAAGGAAATAGTTTAGATAAATGTCTATTACTGCAGGTCTTCCTTCCTATCAACATTACAAATTTTCACTGGTACCTGACGGTCGTGAATGCAAATGAAGGTGAAATACATGTTTTGGATTCCTTCGGACAAAATATGACAGATTGGAAAGATCTCAGATATACGGTATGGCTTAACAATTGATATACAAACTTCTTTAAAATTCTTCATTATCTCTTTCTTAGTTAACCTTGGTGTTTTGGTCATTCCAGTTAATAGGAATGGAAAGACTAATAAAGCATGCACTGAAATCTAAACTACTAAACCAAACTAAATGGCTACACGGTATCGAAGTGTCATCTTGGGAGATTAAACATAAGATTACCGAACAAATGCAAAAAGATGGGTAAACTATCTTTCCATCTCGTGTATATACAATTGCACAACCAACAATAGTACCTCTAAAACTCATATTTTATTCATTTTTTGGAATATATGCTCAGTTGTAGTTGTGGATTATGGCTGATTAATTATATGGAATATTGGACTAGAACTGCTTTATCTGACCATGTCACCCAGGTAATTCTATAAGAGTTTATTTCTAAACATAATCATTTCTTTTGGATTGGTTAATATATATCAGAACTTGCTCAAATTTTCAGGAAGATATAAGTAACTTCAGGTTCAAACTACCTGCGATCTTGTATAACTTCCTGTTAAATGAAGCAAGAGGGTTACCGAATCATGGGCAACAGTTAGAGACCCACAATGAGCTAGATGGTGATGTCACAGAGCTCGATGAGCTGGATATAATAATGTCGGGTGAAATTAAGTTGACACGTGCAATAAAGTGGAAAAGTAGGGAACAAATATTGACCGCAATATGCACAAACATCCAATTCATCGCCAGCGACAAAACTTTACTTCAGTAAGTCATTCTATAGTAAACTGTTTTGTTCTAATTTAGATATTTCAGTTATCCGTTCTAGAATTCATACAAAAAGTAATTTGTGGATTAACCTTGTTTTATAGCAAAGAGTGGGTACGAAATACACGACCGTACCTAATTTCTTTGAATCTTGTCAAGATTAAAAATATTTTAGATGAGGATCTAGAGATGGATCATGAATGCTTAAATATGACTATTCGGATGGCTGCGTGCAACCAACCTATGGTTGGTAAGAAACAAAAATACCACTTCATGGACCTCAAGTTTGCTGTAAGTTGATATATAAATTTATTGTTTATCAAACACTTACAATAATTGTATAATTAATTAAAATATATTTTTGCACAATCCTCAGGAAATAACTGGGTTTCGACAAGATCTACGATGTTGTGACAGAATTGACAACGAATACCGCGGGAAATTGAGAAAAGTACTTGAGTGTTGGTCGGACATGGATTACAAAATTAAAGATCGTAACAACGTAAGTTATGTTATGTGTACTACTATACAAAATTAATTTATTTTGTTTAGCACTTATATTCTCTATGTTTGTTTTTAGATTCTACTACTATATTATCAAAGCGGACTGTACATTTTATTCATAATGGACATGGAAAACAAAACCGTGCACATTATGGACCCCCTTCAAGATGGTCTATGTTTCAAGGGTTATGATCAAACAATGGCTTATATACCTATGTTCCACACAATGGCTAGAATGTTCAGTCTCGTCATGGGGCTATCAAATTCTAAGTGGAACAGCAATATTTATGACTGGAAGAAAGAATACCCAACATGTGTAACAAAGGTTACACATAATAAATACTGGTAACCAGTTGTAATATATTTCACCTGTTATATCACAAAAAAATTTATTTCATTTATTTACATCAAATAAACAATTGATCTTGTCCAGGAAACTGGGAGGCTTTCTTGTATACAATTTCATGAAGATCTGGGACGGCGAAAGATTGTCACCGATCAATAATGTAAGCATATATAGTCTCTAGCTATATTTTGTACACTACATAGAAAAACAGTAACTTATTGTTAATCTATATACCATGCACAGCTCTCAACTTCACCGAGGATGAAATTCTTGGCAGACGTTTTGACGAGTCGTGCAAACGAATGTTCCGACAACATCCCTGAATATCTTCAAGAGATGATTAAGGAATTAGGCAAAATGTAACTTAAATGGTCATAATATTAGAAAATTATACGTAGACTCAAGTACAATTGTGTTTACATTAGACTATGCAAAAATAATTTTATTGTTTTAAGAGACATTCTCAAGAAAAATCCATAGCGTTAACACGAACATTATACTAGTAGTATTAAGTGATGAGTCAAAATTGTCGCGGCAAAAAAAAAAAAAACTCGCAATGTAATGTATAGACCTCATAGTTGCACGTACACTCGATTCACTATTTACAAGTAACCTGCTTGTATAGTTGTATGTAACGGAAGAGAGTTTGACAACGGCAGATCCAGATCGTCAGATCGACAATCCTGGGACGAGAAACGGCAATGAAGAACTTTACAACAGGAAGGGGAAATTGGTGTAGGTGATTATGAGGTTCCCTTCTCGTTCTTTGTTGTCCGGGGTAGCTCTTTCGCCATTGCAGAGAATGACTGGGCAAAAGAGCACATTGGTCCACGTTAACTGTTTGTCTGTTGCTTTTTTTTTATCAGGCAACAATAGCAAGTATTCTATGTTTCATTGTTTCTGCAGGTTTTTTGTATGGACTTTTTTGGTTGAAGAAATACGGAACTGGTAACAAATGAGTAGCAATAACAAGAGTTTAGAGATTGAACTGTGGTAGATCTTGTTCACAGCGTCATGTCAAAAGGAACCGTGGAACAATATTATTCCTTAGGGTACACCTAATTAAGTTAAGCACCTTGAAGCCTAGTTTTCTAACTGCATGATCTGGTTAGAGAAGCATAAGCATCTACCTCCAACCTTTTCATGTTCTCCTGCAGCTTGTTCCCAATCATTTTTGGAACGCTGGTTGAATCCTGTTCATATAAACATGAAATGGGATTGGCAAATGGTAATCGAAACATGGCTGCTAATTATATTGTGCATTATTCTATGCATAATAATTCATATGATTTGCATAGATGAGCTTAATGCACTCACATCATTTGTTGTATTTGCATATCCATACTCCATCTTTATCTGATCAACTTGACTCACTGATGTTTCATCTTCAGTCTTTTTCTTTCCTGAGCTTATCTTTTCTTCAGTCTTGGGCTTCAACTTTCCTGCATGTGCATAATTGACTTGATCACATTACACAATTTTTTTAATATAAATAGTTGAATCAGAACCCAATTTTACAAAGCCACACAGTGGATTACAAATTTATGAACATCTTATAAGTGTACTTTACTGACCTCTAAGGGTATGGAGTCCCTTGCTGATTTTCTCTTTGCTTAGACCAGGGAAATGTGGTCCTTTTGGCTTCTGTGGGTTGTCATCAATGTCGATATCATCTTCAGACAAAAAACATAGTATAAACATAAGTATATACTGCTCCACAAGTAAAAGAAAAATGATAGCATATACCTATGTCCAGCTCGACATTTTCATCATCTCTTAGTGAACTGTTCCTTCCCTCAGATGACAAAGCAAAGTTAGTTGAAGAAAATATTGAAGCCAGCTCTTCAGAAGTCATTGCAATACATTGTTCGCTGCCATTTGCAGCACTTTCTTTTGATTTGCTTCCTTTGTTATCTTTCATAATCATTCCAAACAGACCCTGCTGAGTTCCATACTTCCGTTGTAAGAAAAGTTATGTAGATGGCTTCCAGCTCACTACGATCAATTAATTACCTTTTTCTTTTCTTTAGGAGATTTCACTACAAAAGAAGAGTCTTCCCTGGTTGAGCTCTCTTTTCTGTATACTGTACTAATGCTGTCCACATGCCTGTGTACAAACCATAGTACTCAGATAGCATAAGCCAATCTTCAAAATAACTAAAAGGAACTGCATCTAGGTGTTCAGATCTAGAATTGAAATTCCTTTTTGAAATTATTAGATTATACATTGGTAATTAATTAATTATGGCAGTAGCTTAATCATGAACCCATGGGTCTCAAAGCCACAAAAGTGCAAAACTACTATAAAATTACATACTAACCATGACATAGTAACATACCGGTATATCTCATCCTGGCAGAGCGTAGAGAAAAAATAGGTCTCTTCTCCATTAAACTGTAAAATTAATTCGATTATTTTGTAAGACAATACATTATTTTACAACTGAAAATTTACATGCTATTTAGTAGATAAAGGCTGGGCAGGCGCAGAGCATACCAAGATGGTTTCTCCATCAGATGAACATGCTATGGAACTAGTTGAATTCAAGTTTCTTGAGTACACAAAACCTCGTAAAAAGGCATCCTTCAACAAGGACAAGTCTGCCAGAGATCTGCAGTTTCACGTACACACAGAAAAAAAGGAAGCACATTGACTTCACTTTAGTATCCACAGGCACATCAAAGATTCGAAGTCTTTAAGTAAATTGTTGCCTCACCTTATTTCAATTTTCCCATTGGAGAAGACAAGTATAAGTCCAATGTCATTAGAAGAACTATGAATAAGAGAGGCGAAACAACAACTACTGCTCAATTTCTTCTTATTGGTTATCTTCTTTGTGCCCTGAATGGAGTATAAAACCATAAGAACAACGACAACTCGTGGTAAAGAAAGAAAATGATAGATAATTAGAGATACAAATACCTGAATTGCGTGGCACAAGGAAAATAAGTGGATCGCATTTTCAGTGCAAAGTAACAGCAATGATTCCTTCGATACTGTATCGTGGTTATCTGAAACTGCTGGTGTGTCATTGGGTGATAACTCTGTCACACAATTTCTACAGGGACTTAGAATGCCAATAGTTAATTTATCAACAAAAACAGATAAGTATGCAATGCCATAAAGCGCACCTAACATCTGCAGAAGAAGGGCTTTAGAGGGTTTGTCAGTCTGAACTGGGCTGGGGTTCAAAAGTTTCCCATTTTCTTCCTCGATAATAAAAATAGATGAATCTTCCATCGCTGCTATCAAAATGTCCTTGTCCTATCCATTATGGCTATAGATTTCAAATTGCAAAGAGGCGATTCCACCAGATAGTCGACACTCAAACTGTTTTTGATATAAGATTGTAGCATCTTCTACGTTGATAACTGATACCTGAAACATGGATTTTGTGACATTATAAGATTTTGTTGACTTAGACCGCTGGGACCAGATAGAGCATAACAAATCTGAGCCACATATAAATGAAGTAAAAACCATGGGAAACATGCTTAAATAATCATTTTATCTCTATGGAATAACCAGGGACATTGATATCCATGATACTGATCATTGCAAGCCATGAATGTAAAAAAAAATTGTGGCCATCATGAGATTCCATGGTTGCTATTTTTAAAAAAATAAATAAGAACAATAATTTGTTAATCTTGTTTGTAACCATTTAGTTTTGCTTCCCTCATGTAGCATAGCAACCACATACCCATATTTGATATTTCTGACTCTTGTAGATGAACAAATGTCGTTTTCTGAAACTAGGACACAAAGTCACAAACATGTTGGTGAGACCAAGGAGGCTGCCTTATCTATTTACATGAAACAACATGTGGGGTTGAAGGCACTGTAAAAATCCTTAAAATTAACAATATACCAAAATTTATTATTAATCAAGAGAAAATAATTTTCTGTCATCAATGCTAGAATATACAAGGATGAGCTCTACTTTCAAGCCTAGCTCTGAAATTCTGTGGGCCACTGGGTTATCCAGCTTGTTGACTAAACAGCGCCTAGGAATTACAGCCAAAAAAAAAAAACTGAGAATGTTTTGTACAAACTACACACAATCGAGCACTTACAATTCCTTTTTCTGTCCCAGCAGCAAAATGCTTTGATTTTGAAATAGAAGACATCGTGGTTGTAGCTCCTTTAAGCTTTATACTTTTGACATTGCAGTTATCTCCTTGCTTTGCTGTCAAATTATTTGATCACGTCAAGATATAGAAGATATAGAATATATAAACTTTAAAACTCATTCATTTAAATATGTCATTGAAGAAAAATATGCCATTCATCCAAATGATAAGACCAAGAATACCAATGCTTACAGAGTCTCTTACATCTGCATCTATGAGTACACTTGTAGACTATGTATCGTCCAACCAACCAAAGATACACCTTCTTAAGCAACAACATATCATATTTCTTTTCTTTTGAGGAATAAAAAAAAAACTGGACCTGCGAGGTTATGACCACCCCCAGGCATTGCATTAAGAAGAAGACCTTCTCACGTAGGCCCAGAAAACCCCCGAACCCCTACCCCACCCTTACACAGCGGCACCGTCGCCCTGTGAGAGTGGGTCGGTCCTTAGACCTATGCTTTGGCGTGGGACAGACGAGGGGATTTTTTTAACCCCAGCCTGAAATTCGCTCCCACGGAGAGTCGAACCCAGGACCTAAAGAGTGCCGCCGGGACGCTCTAACCAGTTGGACTAGAGGCCCTTTGGCTTCTTTTGAGGAATAGATCTGTAGGAAAACCCCACACATCTCTTCTATACTAATATCAATAATCTGAAAAACATAATTATTACATTATTCTTTATCTTCAACACAAGGCATGAGATATTGTCACCCACTCACCGTCTCACCCTATAATAAAATTGATGATGATGATAATTGTCTAGAACTCTACTTTTTTTTTCTCGAACAGGAAGGAAAGCTACGTATAATTGCATTAATAGAAGAAGGGAGTGTTACAACACCCACCCACCCACACCTGATTTAAACATTAATTATGTTTGGGCCTGTTAGAAAAACTAATAAATGACCCGACCTAGAAGCTTAACGACCTGAGTTAGGGGCAGAGAGGAAAGACAGCCCCTTAGCTCATGCCATACATCAAAGCTGGGACTCCTCCCTCAAAGATGCTAGGGTGGGCACCATTGAACACACAGTCATTCCTATGTTTCCACAAGGTACATTCTCCCAAGATGATGACTAGAACCCTACTATTACAAGTTGAAAATCATGTCACGAAGAAAAAGAACATGCTGATATTAGTCTCCGAAATTATGCCTACTATCCTTTAGTCTTATGTTCCACAATTTTTATTGAGCATGTACACATCGAACTGGTAAAGGTCAACATTTTGAATGACAGTATAGATGCTGTTGTAGTGTAATTTTCCATGAAAACAATACATAAGCATACCAAGATAGAAGCACCAACTGTTGGGTTTAGGAATAGTGTGAGGATAACAGTACCATTTAAAAAGGAGAATATGTTGTCGCTGGAGTCCTTTTTGAATGTGATAATACGGACCTAGAAATAACAGGAAAGAAGCTTTATTGCACTGCAAGTGCATCAGACATGGAAGCTAGAAGTCATGTCATGGCCACGGAATAGCTTACCATTCCACTCCTTTCTCCAGACAACAGAATGCTAGAGGACATATCAAACTGTAATGATGTGATAGGGTTGCCAGCTGATGTATTGTCTTCATTCTGCACAATTATCAAAGTAGCCAACATATTAATTGGTATGCAAATGCATAACAATGAATGTTCAAAAGCTATTGTAATTTGAAGGAACCTGCTGCTTTATCATAAAAATCTGCAGCAAATGAGGGCATGATGCATCCCAAAAGCTTATGGTTCCATCTAGATGTCCAGTCATACAGAGGTTCCGGGTCTTATGTGTAACACCTCTGGTGTTACGAGCTTGCTTAGTACCTAGGTTAAGGTCTTAGGGAAATCATCAAAACAAGTTCTCGAGTTGAAAAATTTAAAATCACGCATGAAATGATAAACAAACCCTGTGCGACCTACCTTTAGTGGTTGAGAGAAATCAAATAAATATCAAAGTTAATTTACTTAGCGCGTAAAAATGCTAATAAAAATCCTAACAAGAAAAATAGGATAAGTAGTTTTAATTGTTTGGCACGAAAAACAATTTCTATAAACAAAAATAAAATATAACTTGTATTTAGTACCTAAAAAAATCGAAGTACAAGTTTAGTAGGTGGAAATGCAACTTTAACTTTTGGAAAATAAATGTTGTTAACTAGTGTTCTTGGGAGCTCAAAAAAATCAAATCTGAAATTAAAATCAGACCTTTTCGTTGAATCGGCAAGAAGTTGAACTTGTGATTAAAGTGCCATTTTTGGCGAATTATATTGAGCAAAATAATTAAATAGTGCTTACATATTTTGTTCCTATGGTTTAGCATAAAGTATGGACTATTGCATGAAGTATTTGTTGGTTGAAGTTAACAAGGTTTAGACCTATTAAAAATTGCGACAAAAGAGTTAATGGCTACATAGCCCCAATTGAAACTCTTAACTTTTCTAAGTATGGAAGGGTAGTAGACAATGCCATTTTGGCATTTAAATTCTAACTAAAATGTTTAAACACTAGATCCATGTTTTTGTACTGTTGGTTGCTTCTAAGTAAGCACTTGAGCATGGTGTAGATCGAAGTTGTGTTGGATGTCACGTTGCCCACTCTAAATTTGCCCAAACCTCCTTAGAACGCGTTGTGAACCATGATTTGGTGCTCGGTTCGCGAACCAGAGTTCAGCGTGACGAACTCATGTTGGCACCTCCCTATCTCCCTCTCTGGTCGCTCTCTGGACGTGAGGTTTGCTTCGCCAGTTGGGTGTTAGTATCGGCTTTAGGTTAGTGGAATTGGTTGAACTCCGGTCGTGTTGATCAACAGCCTTTGCTTCGCTTTAAAACGTGTGCACGTCATCGGTTGCTGTCGCTCGGCCTAAGTCCGCGGTCACCGTGCGCACGCGAGCGCTGCTGGCGCCGAGCTCAAGCCATGGCCGGGCTGTTGCCGCTGGCTAGCTCGCGCGCCCGGTCGGTGCCGCGCGGCGTCCCTGGCCCTGCGTTGGCCGGTCTCGGCTGGATGCGGCCTGGCTTCCGCTGCTGCTTCGCGAGCGCGCCACGCTCGAGTGGCTGGCGCCGTGCCACGTGTAGGGTTGAGCCGAGGCTGCGACTGTCGTCGCTCGACCAACGTGGCGCTCGCCCCGCCCCCCGATTCAACTAACGTGTTGAGCCTCCGGGCATGTGCCACTGCCGTCGCGTCTGGGTCGATTGACCCCGGTCACAGTGGCGATGGTGATGCCTCTCTGCCTCACTTTGCCTCCACTAGCCGACGCCGGTGACCCCCGCTCGGGTCCTGCCACTACATTCCAAGCGCTTCGCGCCAAGCCTCCATGTCTCGTCATCTGAGCGCACGTGCTGGTGCTGCCGCCATCGATCGGAACTGCCCCGTCTTAGCCTGCTCAGGCTCGCTCGTGTGCCCTCTCCACGACCGCACCATGCGCAGGACCACCTTCCCTCCTAGCGTCAGCGGGCTTCGCCGCATAATTCCTCACTCCAGTGGGTAGCTTAGGAAGTCGGCTAGCCGTCTCTTTCTCCTCAAGCCCGGCCAAACACTACCGATCGGCAATTTGGCATTTTGCTCGCCGCCAGTCATGTGCGCCGCCGAGCTGGTAGGTTTGGGGGTAAGGCCCGTAGGGTTGATAGCAGTTCAATTGCTCGTAACCCCGAACTCGCCTTGACTCCCTCTATCCGGTGCTCGCGCTATTTTGGCTAGGGCACTCGTCGGCGGTGTGGTGACGCGTCGGTGTCCGCCTCGGGACGTCGCCGTCGTGCCTGGGCGCATGTGGCCAGACCACCTTGGCCCTCCCCTGCTTCGTCCATCGCCATAGCGTGCACCATAGTGAGCTACTGATGCTTCTCCGCTATCTCTACCCGTCCGTGGGGGCGTAGGCTCGCCGGAACGCTCGCGCCGCCATGGTAGTTGGTCCGCCGACGCGAGCAGTGCATTAGCGGTCACCGTCTAACTTCTAATTGCCGCCCAGGGTTTCGTCTTGGCTTCGCGATGCTCGTCGGCCTGCTTGTTTGACCGGTGCCTCGCTCCATTATCCGGCGTAGGTGTGCAGTGTCGGCCGGAGCCGCGCCGTCGCGCGCATGGCGTCGGGGACCGATTCAATGAGAGGGTAAGGTTATTGAGGGTGCTCGATGCAAAACTTGTCTCTAGTGCAATAGTGCGCGGGGTCGCCGCGTAGTAATCTGATAAGCCGGTGACCTTTTTGCTAAATGCGCGAGTACGCTTGCGTAGCGAGCTAGTTGGGCCGGCCTGCTGGCGCGCGGCCACGCCCCGCGCGGGCCGCAGCGGGCGGGTGGGCCGAATTGGTGGCCAGTCTTTCCCTTTTTCCTAAAGCATTTTCTAATTTAGTTTCTAAGGCAAAATTGTAAATTCAATATAAATTTGTGTAGTGGACCAAAAATTGTGAAACTAATTTTGTTAGGTTCCTAAAATCATGATCTATCTGCTAGTATATCTTGTTCGCATAGTTTTATAGTATTTTCAGGAGTTATCTAATTAAATTGAGGTGCTTAATATTGTTAAGATATAAACTTGTAAGAATTTTTATGATTAATTAGTGCTAGTGTTAATTCTGGAAATTCCACAATAACTTCCCAATATTATGAGGTGCTCACTGTAATTTTTGTATCTCCATGATAATTAGTTTGCTAAGATAGCTAATGAGTCATAGTTCGAATATATATTAAATCAATGAAATGAAGTAAAAGAAACACCTTGGGATTGTAGGACTAAAATATTTTTCCGGGAAACGACGCCTTACTCGACAATGTGAATACATAGCCTAGTACGTTAGTCGTAGAACTAGCTCGTTAGCTTGAGAGGCGTCAACGTATTTTAAGAGCTGCGGTTGCCGTTGGTTAATTACGTTTCTGCGTTGCATCCACGTGTATAATAGGAACAATGACGGCTTTCGGAGTCATCTGGAGTAGTAGAAAGGATGGTGCCTTGATGATCGGGTCACCACGATGGAATGCTAACTTTTGGTTATATCTTACCCAGACAAGCCCCGGTGCATAACCCCTATTATTTTGCACTTTATCTTATGCTTGTGCATTAAGTTTTAAGGAGTTGAATAAAATCCACTTGCATATATATATCTTTATCCTATGAGTCATACTAGTATGTTAAGATTGTATAGATTGCTATGTTAAATGATTTCAGTAGAAGTCGAGTGATTACCTGTCACTCGCGAGAGGTAGGAAAGACCTTATTATTCTTATTATCATATAACTATCACATGGAACATATATGGATGATAATTGGAGACCGGGCGGGACTGTGCTTTGGGTTTGGATTTGGATTTGGTTAGGCAACCGAGCGAGGCTCCGGTTGCATTTGTCCCACCTGTGTCAATTGAGGACCGTCCGTTGCTGTGGATGGTAGTCAGGTCACAGACGTATTATCCTGAGCACATACTGGCTTATGGGAGCGGGAAGACTTGTTGTTCTCTTGTCATGGGTTCCGGCTATTTCCAGACCGACTTTTAGGGGTGGGTATTAGGTGGAGGTCTAAGCACCATACTGAGACCGGGTCTAGGTGTTGGGGGCTTGGAGTCCAAGTTTGGACGGGGACCTAGACCCCTTGACAGGAGTGGAACGTGTTGGTCTTGTTTGTGCCTGGGGTACAAGCGAGGCGTGTGTTTCGGAGTACCCAGTTGGGATACATTGATTCACGAATCGCCGTTTCTTTTGAGACGGTACGACTTGGCAAAGGCCTAGCACCGTAGTAAGAACTGGAACATGGAAGGTGTCGGAAACCAATACTAGGGTACCCGAAGAGGAGCTAATGGTCATCAACATTGATTCATCCGAGCAGTCAAGAGCGTGACTACAGCTCCAACCAACCCCCAGGTGCGAAGGCTCTGCCTCGTCCGACCCCAGGTGCGCAGGCTCCGCCTCGCCCGACCCTTGGGGGCGGGCTCCGTCTCACCCGACCTCGAGGCCGCGGGCTCCGACTCACCCGACCCTGAGGCCGCGGGCTCCGCCTCGCCCGACCTCTGGGTCGGGGGCTCCGCCTCACCCGACCCCTCAGGCGCGGCTCCTGACGGAAGCCCATACCGCCGCCAACCACTACGGGCCAGAAAGCACAATCCAAGGTCAAACTTCTAGCATCGTGCAGGGAGCGGGCACATCTCAACATGACCCGTGCCTGCGACATGTCACTCCAGGGAACTCACATCACCAACAGTGACGAACGCATGGTCACTATGCTGTCTACTCCCTATACGGCCGCTGACCAGCACGCTGGTTCGCCGCGTCGCCCGCCGGGGCGGAATGGGACGTTACAACCCGCTGACAACACCAGGGCTTGGCATCAGCGGCGAACAGGCGCCTGGCGTGGAGCCGTCCCTGTCACCATCTGCAGTGTCGGCGGGACCCGCACAAAGGAAAAGAAAGGCCCGGCGGTCTTGGAAGCCTTCCTCTCCTTGCCTCTTCTCCCTCTTTCTCTCTGTGTAACCTGCTCTTCCCCTTCGTCTATAAAAGGGGAAGCGGGACGTCCCAGGAGGTGGGTGGTTCACCACTCTACATGGTTGTAGACATCAAAACACACGCCCTAACACGCCTTAGGAGCACACGCACATCAGAGACTTAGGACCTGTTCCTCTCTCGCTCGTTTGTAACCCCTACTACAAACTTTCAGTACCGGTAACACGAGCAGCAGCAATGAACTGGGCGTAGGGACTTTCTGCCCGAACCATTATAAACCTCGTGTCCTCTAAACACACCATCCGAGCCAGACACGCAATACTAGAAATTTACTCGTCGATGGTAACTCGAAACACCGACAGAATGTGATAAAATGGTTCTGATTGCTTACCACATGCTTGAAAGTAGCATATGTGCTTACCTAGAATGATTAGCTAATTAACTAAAAATAACTGCTAAAAACTCTGAACATAAGGATGCACTATTAGTAATGCTTCCTGCAAATACAATTAACCAGCAAGCTAAAATAAGCCTTGCATATCTTTGGAGTCTTTTATTTTTCTCCTGTCGGGTAAATCTTGCTGAGTACAATCGAGTACTCAGGGTTTTATTCCCCCTGTTGTAGGTGACAGGTGGATGCTGGTAGAGCTGACCTTGTGTGTGGAAACCTTCTGATGGGCTCAGCGAGGGTTTCCTTACGTTGCGGACATAGAGTTTTAATTACAACCTTCACGAATAAAGTTTTGGAAAGAAAAGCTTATGATTTGCTATCCTCACATGTATATAATTATGTCTCATGCTTAACGTTCAATAGCTTACAAGTAAACTTAATTTCCGCTGAAACTCTGATCACGTGTTTTATTCCACTGTCGTAATTATCTTGTTTATCATTCTGATGTTGTAATAAAGTCATGTAAAGAAATAGCTAAGAATGTTGTAAGCTTTATCCTCTCATTTACGATCCTGACGAAAAATGTGGATTTTCGAGTTCTCCTTTTGGGTGTGCTCGACGGAACAACGTGGTTTAGTGCACTCTCTTAGGTACTTAGGGTCTAATGGAAGACAAGTACTCTGTAGAGGGCATTAGATCAGACGGTTCTGCCACATTATGAATGCTGGTAAAACTTGTTAAAGTCTGACCTTTATCCTTCATTGAAAACAGCCATGGATATTTGGTGGCTGATGAAAAATAATCCTGCACACCATTAGAAGGAAGAACAACTTGATCAAAGAGTTTGTAGTTTTTGAAAGAAATAACAAGTATATACATGCCTCGTCCAAAGAAGCTAAGGCTGCAGGGTTACATGTATAGAACTTTGCAACACTGATGCCTGAATCACCATAAGGAAGCTTCACATATGAACAGTTTGGAAGTGTTGGAGGTGATCTAGACTGAGAGTGAAGGAGATAGCGCTCAATTTCTGAATCATCATATAAACAGATCTGACCAGATTTCAACAAGAGAACAAGGGCACTTTGTCTGTGCTTATTTGGGTCACTAAGCCCTGTAACAAGTTCCATTCCTTGGCAAGATTCAGCGATAGGCAAGACCATCTTTACAATTCGCGATTCACACTCTTCATTCAGAATCAAAACCTATTCATAAACACCAAGTGGAAGGTTGAACAAAGATGCAGTTCTTACTGAACAGAAACAATCAAGATACATTATCCATGTAAGTCATCAAACTAATTTTGTAGGGAAGAAAATACAGGCTCCAACAATGCACAGAAAGGGGCAACTTTCAAATGTTTCTGGGAAATAAAAACACTTTTTTGGTCAGTCTAGCTTGCCATTTAAAGTGTGATATTTCAATTTGCAGACCAGCCAATCATAAAACCATTGATTCTAAATTGGTATTATGAAGCAAAATCTTACAGGTGATAAGGCACATTGCTATTTTAGAACATAACTCCACATGATAAGAAAACAAGGTACAAGGGATATAACATGGCACTTGAAATTTATGGCAGTGGACAGTCTACAAACTATTATTTGAGCAACAGTTTAAATATTTGTTTTGCTAAAGGTCAGTGTTTCCACCTGAAATAGGTGACCATGATCATTGAAACCATTGATATACAAACGACCTGCCTTTCCATCGCTAGAGATCCATTGCAAAGAGACTATTGGCAACTTGTCTAGCTTGTATCCTAGGTTAAGCCTCTAAATAGGTAGATTCTGGCCGCCCATAGATGAGGAATTTTGTGTAGTTGTAACCTCAGGAACGGCCCAAATGTATAAATCGCCATTATCATATCCAATAGCAATTTTGCTTCCCTTGGCACAAACCCAGCATGCTGATGTTACATTTTTGGCCTCCTTCTGTGATTGCTGCTGCATAGTTTTACCAGATATGGATACTGCTTTGCTAGCTTTAATATCCCACAAACTCATAACCCCATCTCTGAAGATAATGAGCACCCTGAGAAGAAGAATGTACCTTAATGAGACTTTTGTATATGTCTACAAATAGTGAAATGTAAGATCAAACAGGGATACTAGATGGGTTATTAAGATGAAGTTGTTTTTTTTTTCTCGAACACGCAGGATTAACCTGTTAATCCTAAATTAGGATATATGGCTGAGCACTATGAAGAGATTGACCTGTTCAATTCAGACAAAGGCTGGGGCGAAACAAATATTACTTCAGCATCATTACCAGCACTAGCAGTGGAACCTTCAGCAAAGAAACAAAAACCCAAACAAAATGAGTCAACTTTTAGTGTTCCAATTCGATTTACGGCTGCTCGTATTGCAAGAATTATCTAAAAACAAAACCAATATCTGAAGGGTGCTCCCTTTTGAATGTGATCACATACTGAAAAATACAAAAAATAAGACACCGATCGACAAAGTTGATTATGAGCACGGTAGACAGATATTTCTAGTGTAGCAACATCATACCATAAGATTCAGTAAAAGGAATCCAGTACGGCATGTCAGCTAGGCATCTCTGAGCCAAATCAAGCTTCAATAGAGATACATTTCCAGAACTATCCCCAACATATCTGCCAGGCACAGAATTCCCATTAGAGCACTAAACCATTTGGAATCCATCGACTCAGTAGTCGGAAACAACTATAAGTATATAACTCACATGTAGAAGCTCTTCTGCAGCACAGAGAATGCAGTGATTGACTTTTCAATCGGGTGCAGATAACAGAGTTTTTTGGCATCGATGTCCCAAACCTGCACACAAGGTGCCTTCCGGATTAACAATACATGGAAGCGAAATCATCAGTCAAATATATTCATAAGTATAAAAAAATCACCTCGATCTGGTTCTGGGTGTTGACATTGAGCAGAACCCCTTGGCCCTCGGCAAACTGAAACGGAACATCTTAGAGTGAGACGCCTCCAAGTCTCGCCACGCGACATTGGACACGCAAATTAAGTAGTGGGATTGGCGACGGGAGGGCGGCGCGGTCGTACCTGCAAGAACCTGGAAGGGAGTGGAGAGGGGGACTGGAGCAACGCCTGCGTGTTGTCGCGGCCGAACAGCTTGATCTGCCCATTCCTGAAAGCAATCGCAGAGAAAGGGGGAGTGAGCCGAAAGCGGAAGGTAGCGAAGCGGCGGCCGTGTTGTTACCTGGTGGCAACGGCAAGGACGTGGAGGACGGGGTCGTAGGCGAGGAGGGCGGCGTCGGCGGGGACGCCATAGTGGAAGGCTAGCCGCGGGCTGACATCCTCGGCGCGCAGGGAGCTGATGCTGCCGATATGTTGCTGTTGAAATTACGAATAAAAATTTTATTTTCAAAATCAGCAGCACCTGCTTCCGTAGCATAGTGGTAGTGCGTTCGCTTCGTAAGCGAAAGGTCGCGAGTTCGATCCTCGCCGGGAGCTGAAATTTGTTTTTATAGTTTTGACATATTTTCTTTTCTTTGCTCCGAGCGACGAAATCCTCTCTGAAATGTATTCATTTTTCTTATCTTTTTCACATGTAACCATGATGTGCTACTCTCTTTCAAAACTATAGCTTGTTTGTTTGTTGAATTAGCAATATATTAACATCTACGAATTCAAGTAAATGCTTTGTCAAAACATACCCCATAGATAATTCAGTGGAACTAATTTAACATTGTAATTGTTGATGCATTTTGATATAAACTTAACCAATGTTAAAGAAATTTGACTCAGAATAAAAAAAACGAATAGTAATTGCTAAACGATCTTCGAGACGAGATCCATTCCAGTCCCAACCCAGTGAACTTCGGTCCAATGATTAGAAAGGGCCCTAAAAACCAAAAGAAAGGCTCCGTGGCATAAACCGCGGGTCCGCTGGACCAGCTGCTCACCGGCCTGTTACTTTTGAATAAAACCACTACTATATACCTGTGTTTGGTCATATCCATAGGTCTGTTTGGCGGATATTAAAGTCGTCTGAAGCTATTTTATTATAAAAGAAAATACTATAAATTCTAACGGATAAGTTCTAAACGATCAGGCCCGTACATGTTGCAAAAGTGAGCCCAGTTCCACAAGAAGATTAAAGCTGTCGAGTACTCCGTCCGGTCAAAAGTACCGGCTGTTTTGGGTAGATACTTTAACCATTATTTTATTTGAGTACATTTATAAATCTAGTAAGTATATAAGGTTGTAATAGTGCTTTTGAGTAGAGATGTGTATATCTTCAAAGTTATATTGGTTGTTAAATTTTCACAAGCTTGACCCGATCTTGTCCAAAAGGGACCGGCTGAAGTATTGTTAACAGTGTCTTCGTTTCTGAATGTATGATGTTTATGACAAGATAATTGCTTTATTTTTGAACTAATTAGCTTGTTCTAAACGCTATATGCTCCCTTTATTTTGAATTGTATAAGCTGTTTTAGTTGTCATAAGTCAAATTTCTCTAGTTTTGATCAAGTTTATAGAAAAATATATCAATATCCACAATATCAAATAATACACAACCTTTTTTAATGTTGTAGAGATTTATCTATTTTTTTATAAACTTAGTCAAATCTAACTTTAGAATAAAACTAAAATCACTTACGTTTCGAAACAGAGGAAGTATTAAAAATGGAGAGAGTACTTTTTTACGCATTACGATGAATAACTCCACCAGGGGGAGTGGTGCATCATTAGCCTTTATACTTGAATCTACTACTATACTTAAATAGGAGAACCCTACTGGAGGCTTTTTCTGTGACTTGGTGAAGCCACGTAATCACAGCTCCACTACATTACTTCCTGTCAAGCGCACAAGCACAGCTAAAGACCCGAAGCGTCCCATCCAATATTCACGTCGGTAGATCAGGAGACGCTCTCCGTTTCCAGTCCTGTGCCCTGTTTGTCTGGACTTGTTTGGCTGCCATGGCTGAAAGTATTGTTGGCTGATTTGATATGAGAGAAAAATATTATTCGTTAATTGAAAAAGTACGACTTATAAACCTAACATGCCCAAGCGACCGGGGCGCTGGTGCGCAGAATGAATCGTCGCAGCCCGCTGGTCTCCCTCCACCTACTCATCTTCTCTACCCATGTGCTTCTATCCCTTCAAATAATGAATCCGGCCGGCCCCAAGCTCACGACAACACAGCATCACAATTTCACAGCAGGCAATCAGCGATGACCGCACCCTAGCCAAACCCAAGACCAAAGGAGGAGTAGAAGGACATGGCTGGCGTCGTGGATGGTGGCGATGAGCGTCAGGACCGTGGAGGCACCTGGCTTTGCGAAGGCTTTTGCGCCGGCATCGACAGAGAAGAGGCGAGCGAACAAGGCAGTAGAGGGGATGAGGCTCCATGTACTTTAGCTGCTGAGTTCCTAATTAATTAGATATATGTGCAAAGGTTCTCTCTGTTCCAACTTTCAGCAACCGAGATTAGCTGACTTTGGTCGCAATGGCGCGGTTGGTCCTATGGCTGTAAATACGTACAATCCTTTAGAGTCCCTTCTCTGTTACTACCTGCCACCGCTGAAGCCTGAAGGCTGCACCAAGCTTCCATTCCGTTCCTCCGCTTGAATCCATCTCGCAGGTGTTTTGAAACGACACCTATTCACCAACAAACGTTTTTCACGAAGTGATCTCATCTATTAAGCACAAGATTACTGGATAGAATTAGATACTCCCTCCGTTACTCAAAAAATGATGTTCTGGCTCCTATACGCAAAAATGCAAAAAAACGTCGTTATGAGTCCAACTACGGTTTTGTGGACGCTAAAGCCCCTGCCCCATCGATCCATGCATCGTGAATTGATGACGGGACCGTTCGTTCCTCGATGCCGCAACAAACTCGATCTCCTCGATTCCCATCCGTGCCGTTGGCCGCTCGCTCGCTGCTCTCCACTCGCGCTTTAAAGCCTTCGTCGCTGCTGGCCACCGCTCGCACGCCATGGATCCAGCACATCGCCGCTCGCGCTCGCCGCCGCTCGTGCTCGCCGCTCGCGCTCGCCGCCGCTCGCCATGCCATGGATCCAGCGCCAGCGGACTCATTGTCGGAGGAGGTGGTGCCGGACTCCACGCCGGAGTCGCAGCAGCCTTCGCCGGACTCGGAGAGTGACGCTTTAATAGAAACTCAGACAACCCAAACGTCATTTAATCTTGTTAATCCGAACAAAAAATTGACCAGACGTGCGAAAACAACGCGCCCAAACAACCTCCAGTGCGCCACGGCAAAATTTTCAGTGAAAACTTGCGGCCAGGGGCGCGCCATGCGCCTCCCACGCGCGCCAGGCCAAAATTAGCGAAAACTGATTCTGGTACGCGCGCCATGCAGCGTAAACAGGCCATGCAAAAATGCGCCACTAGCAAAAAAAAATGCGCCCACCAGGCTTCGAACCGAGCACCTCGGCCTTAACACGTCGCTGCGCTAACCGTTTGAGCTAATGGATGTTCTCGTATAGCATGCACCCGCAAGTATATTTAATAGGGGCAGTGAGGGAAAACTCTACCCTAATTAATCACTCGTTGTATCCTAAATGCTGTCCTAAACGTTATTTTTTTGAGTAACGGAGGGAGTAATTAGTTTTACTCTTAAGAGCATGTCCTTGAGGAACAGTTGGTGTCTGTGGTTTCCTTTGGGAATAGTCGCTTTACTTGTATAAATATATTTTAGAGATCAATGAAAGAGAGAGTTTTTCGAAATCTTGTTCATTTACATTCACTTCTAACATTATCAACACTTTTGCTCTACGAACTAGAAGGAGAACACCGACAGCAATTCTGTTCTTTCATTATGGTGGAGGACAATCTCGATCTCCTGATATGGCGGAGCACAGGAGCGAGAACGAAGAAGAATTTTGATGTTGCTGGCGCAGCTTGTTCTTCAACGTCGACGACTGCTGGTTTTGGGCTAGAAGACAAGAAAAGATGTTGATGCTGGGCATCTTGGGCGAAAAACAAAGGAAAAAGTACAAATTACTACCTCCATGTATGGATTAAGTCTGAATGACCCTCTAAAGTAACAAAAGGTTTACTTAACCCCCTACTTTTGCTAAACCGATTCAGATTTCACCTTTGATACATATGCAAAACCAAACTTGCTAACTTGGCCGGTTTTTCTTGACTACGATTAACACGTCAGCTACATAGTCGAGAAAAACCGATCAAGTCAGCAAGTTTGGTTTTGCGTGTGTCAAAGGTGAAATCCAAACCGGTTTAGCAAAAGGAGAGGGTTAAGTAAACCTTTTGTTACTTTAGGGGGGTCATCCGGACCTGTCTACACGTGGAGGTAGTAATTTGGACTTTTGTCAAAAACAAATGCACGTGGACACAAAGACTGTAAGCACAGATGAAGTTTTCTTCAATTCATAATGCTCTTACCTTGCTTGCATGGAAACGGACGACGGACGAGTACTGGGCCACTACGCTCGTTGATGCATGCCCCTCCGGCTCCTGCGCGCGTGGCCTGCAATACGGCGGAGACCGCCTGGAACCTGCTCTCGTTACAGAACGCTACTCTTTTCGAGTATTCTAAATTATACGGAAACGCTATACATCAACCGTATGATTTACTTGCCACTGTCAACCGAATTTTTCAGCGTTGATCTTGACTCCAGCCCGAGAGCTGCCGCTCGATCTGTCGGATGCCTGCAGCGTCACGCCGCCCAGCCCTTCGAGCGTTGGATTTGATCGATTGCGTTTATTTTCTCTAGGTGGACTTGCTGCTTGCAGATGCCACGGTACGTGTGTAGCCCGGGGTACGGCCCGCGCGCCGGCCTCCCCGCCGCGACCTCGTCGCCAATGATGATGAAGCAGCTGTAGCAACTCATGCCAACGCAGCAACAGCAACAACACATGTGGCAGTACCATGTCTCGGAGTACTAGACGAGGCCGGACGCTACGCCTTCCTTGGCGTCGGTGGCGGCAGCGTGGCACGACATTTCGAAATTTTGTGAAGATTTTGTATTTTTTTTAAATTTGTGAAGAATTTATGAACAATTTGACATATATTTCTCTGATGTCTGGAATCCATAGAAATAATTTGTAAATTTTTTTTGAAAAATTTGGTATATATTTGTGTTATTCTCAACTTACATCACTATGTCCAATACACTAAAAAAATCATTGTAAATATAGTTTTAAGACAGTGTAAATATAGCTAGAAGACTGTGTAAATGTAGGGAAAAATTCAGTTAACAGGAGGAACCAAAATAGCTGGATGTCACGTAGACGTATCTAAATTATAAGTCATTCTAACTTTTTCGAATAGTTAAATCATCCTAAGCTTGACCAAATTTATATTTATATAATAAAATAATAACATTTATAATACATTAATACCTAACAAGTGTCATTAAATTTTTTATTAATTATATTTTTATAGTATATTTATTTGATATCATAAATCTTTGTAATTGTTTCTATAATTTTTAAATGGGATCACCGAAGCAAAAATTTTGCTCTGGTGTTCTCATTTTGGTTTTCGTGTCACTGATGTTGGTTCGTGCTTTATCGCCCTGTTATCAGGTTTGGACGGCTCGCATTTTTACTTTTTTTACTTTTCTCGCAATGCTTTCTTTTAATAAGTTGCACGGATTTTAAAGCGCCAAAATACTTAATTAAAATTAATTTCAATTTGGATCTGGACCGGACCTAGCCCTATCCGTGTCCAACCCAGACCACTCAGATCGATTATTTGACTTTAGACTCCGATTTTTATTCGATCCAGAGGAGACGGAGAGTTCTAGCTCGGTCTCGTTAGCGGCGGCGACGCGACGTGCAAGGGACGGCGGCACGGAGGGGCAGAGGCGCACAGGAGGCTGGGCATTGGCGGCGCACGGAGGGGCAGAGGGACCCGAGGTGAGGCTGAGGACCAAACTTAAACAATGCACAAACTTTGTATCAACAAGACCCCTCGGGCGAGGACATGAGACAACAGAGACCGCCGAAACATGCTACAAACTCCTTGAACAAAAGTATCGTACATAAAGTAGGTACTCTTGTATTGTAATTTCTACATTCGCATCGACTCAATTCCGCATTCCCTTTCTCTTCCAAGATCACTGGTAGCATGTTCATGCGTTGCTACGGAACAACTAAACTTTTATAATAAAAACACATGGATCGCACGATAAAATAACAATATTATAAGACATTAAACTGACATTTAATCAAAAGACAAAGTTGGTGAAATTAACAGTCACTAAGAGCACAGCACCGTAGGCTCACAAACTCTACTATATAGATCTTTCCGTGATACGGCTAAAATAATATTTTATATCGACAGGAAGTCTCCGATATTACCAACTAAACGAAGCAATCAAATATGTCAGACAAACATTACTCAATCCATATATTTTGAACCTGTTTGACCAATGAAAATGCACAAAATGACTATTATATTAAACTAAATTCATGTCCATCATCTATTTAAAATGCACATCACAAACGTGTAAATAATTTCAATATTATTTAGTTCTCTAAATCTATGAGACGCGACACGATGTCCTTAGCAAATTCTTGCAACATAAACAAAATATTATCCGGCCACCGAATGCGGAAACAAAAGTAATGCCTGACACACTCCGTCCACTGCAAAGGATCTGCCCGCATTGCCATGTTAGCTTGAAAAAAAAAGTGCTCTATATTCTGCTCAAAAAATCTATCCTCACATAATCCCGCCATGCATGGCAAACAAGTGCTCTATATTCTGCTAAAAAACAAGTGCTCTATATGTGCTCAATTACAAGTAATCAAAAGCATAAAGACATAGCATACAATCTTCTATGCTGCAGGCAGTCAGCAACATTAACATAAACAAATGGATCATACATTTAACAGAATCCATCTCCATGGCAGCAACCTGTATTTGGTTCAGTCGAATAAAGGAATTGACATCCTAAAGCAGCGTTCGTCTTCGTTATTGTATTTTCCCCCTAAACTCTAAGTTCAGTGGAGATAATGTTTCTTCCATTCAAACTTTTCCACATGATCAACTTGAAAACCACAAATTCATACAAATATATGACTTGTCATACCTTATACCATGCATGTGCTTTGTGCTTATTCCTGATATCATGGCAAGCAAAACATATAAATGATGTATACATGCCTTAATATTTTTAAAAGCAAAGATATATAGTGGTATATATTTAACTTTACTAAAAAAAAGGATTATATAGCCTACGTAAACCACCTTAATGTCAAACTACTAATTGTCAGCTAAAAAGAATAAAAGATTTCAGATTACATTCCATCTATCAGAGGTAAGCCAAAGCATCATTGACAATCTTGTGACACGATTTGCTAGAATTGATCATTATACTCTAAATGATCAACTCATTAGTCTTCTACAAATTGGTAGACAATGCTTTCCTGGTTGTTGAAATCCAGGACCAATCCATGAATATGCAAAGGTGAGCTACCATTGCAGCATGTCACGACACACAGATGCATCCTGAACATCAGTTGGTGAACACATGAAAAAAGAAGAAAAAAAAACAGTAAGGGAAGTAGAAAGGAAACTGGTTGAACTGAAACAGAGAAGGTAAACTGCAACAGCTTAAGGAGATTTTCCTCCATCCTTTCATCTCCTATGGTGCATTTTAAAGAACCTGATGACTAAACTGAGGTACAAACCCTGCGGCTTAGTACACACTAACAAGATAGACGGAAAAACTTCAAATTATGAACAAATTTATTATGAAAATGTTCTGATGACCACACACGCCATATCCAAATCACTAAGTTGGACATACCGTTTTTGTCTACATGCTAATATTTGGCGTGTTGTAGCAATAGATTTGCAAAAGCAAGAAATTGTGACTTGGTTAGTGCAAACTATCCTCTATGTTCTGAACTGATTATGTAGAACAGAAGCTAAAATGTTGTAAACCGAATATAAGCTCCAGGCTATATTGATTTATAAATGGGAAAGTAAAATGTAGGCATCTAGTGGCATCTTAATCTGAAAATGTTTATAACTTTAGTTTTTTGAAGAATTGGTTTATGTTTTTTAAGCAACTGGTCAGCATATGTCCATATGAATTTGAGAACAGATCAGTAGATCAAGGCTGAAATCCAAAATTGTAGATGGAAGTCTGCGACTTAATAAACTAAGAAAAGGAAGACCTGAACTCTCCTTTTAACATCACCTGCACTACTCCCTTGAGCAAAATGACCTAAATGAGGATCAAACGTTGTAGTGTAAACCTGAAATAACAGCTCTTGCAAACTTGTGTCCATTAAAATTGAATATGCATATGTATCAGCTGGCTAATCCAATCTACTCAACAACAGGTATGTACCCAGCAGGACAGTAAGATGAAAAAATGGGCGAAAAAAACCGGATGGACTGACCATACCTTGTCCTTTGCCTACGTCGTGGAAGGAGTACATGGCATCAGGCTGGTGGAAGGCAAGGTAGCGCTCGGCAAGGACGAGGTGCTCGGCAATAGTTTGGTCCCGCTGCTCACAGTGGAGGTGCACCTTGGCATCAGCACCGTCAGTCATGGCCAGGGAGAAGCGGAAGGGCAGCCATGTAGTTTTGACGAAGACAGTGCCAGCAGCCACCGCCACCACCTTGGCGCCATCCATGGGCACCGAGAGCTTTGTACAGCTATGTCTCGCCGCCACCATAGAAAATGATCAAGCCCATGAGTCAATGAGGCCTGTTTTGGGAATCAATAGAATCTGAAACACAGTTAGTGAGAGGCCTGTTTTAGGCCCTGTGAGATGAAAAGAAAATGGGACTCAATATCTAAAAACTCTTCAGTTTGGCACAAATTCAGCATGACCAAAATTGATCAAAGGGAAGGAAAATATTTCATCATAAGACATCTTTGCAATTTCAGACCACTTGTGTCCAATAGCTTGTTGAGTCTGCATGACAGTGAGAAGCATCATTTTGCATACAAAAAAATGAATAATTTAGACCAAAATAGTAAAATAATACATATTAAGTGTGGTAATAGCAAAATAAGGCCAGAAATATCTTTACTCCTCAAAGAGGCATTAAAGGAATCGTCGACACACATCTTCAGCACGTCAAACACTATCCGCTCCACATGTTCAATTTTTTCGGCTCCCTCAGCGTGCCTCCCCGCAACCTTATGAAAAATACAGTGGCCTCTACCCCCCTGTCTCGCCCCAACATCCTGCTGCCACTGCTTTTTTAGCATTAACATTTACAAAATAAAATATTAAACAAATGTAATAAATGAGATATATTACCTCAGCTATGGAGTTAACACCTCTTTCTAGACGATTCTAATAAACATATGTGAAGAGATCATCGGAACTGTTGCTAGGGGTATTCACCAAACCAATTACGATAGTAATAAAATGTAGTCAAGTCATCGGAGGGAAAATAAAGTAGAGTTTGGTTAGGCTACTGGGTCACAGAAGTTTGTAAAAACAACCGCTTAAAATTAATAAATGCATACCAAATCATTGTACAACATGAACCAAAATTTCTTTTTTTTACTGTATCGCTTTTGTCCTCTGCGCTAACAAATCAGGTGCCAACAATGAATTTCTTTGCTGCATCGGGTAACAGAGCAATTCATCTAGGAACACTAACACATATCTATCCATTTGAAATCTGTAAATGCATGCAGCAATCATGTTTTTTCACTTCTGAGATACAGCATAACAGCACACAAATGACCGGAATAACATCTGAGCTACCTGCCTACAACACACAATATTGAAGTAAGTTTCACTTGGAGTTCTCACGACTAATTCTATTGATTAAACCCATACACAAAAAACAATGTATTAGGATTGTCTGGGTTGTTTATTAGTCATTTCCTTTGGGAAAACCAGAAATTATTTCTATCCATCTGAATGTATTTACCTGTAGCTTCCTTCAGATCAGTATATCATTTCCTCAAACACATGTCAGAGCTACAGGAACAAAGGCATACTTCTATCATCACTTCATCAGCAGGTCAATAAACTTCTATGCTTAGAAGAGAGGCTCGCCAGGTCAATACTCTCTCCAGATTGCAAACAAACGAGTATGCCAACCCACGGATCCCACAGTTAGAAAAACTGAATATTTGAGCTGTTATTGGTATATAAGTCGTGCTTCAAAAACATCAGATCAACTTCACAGGAACAAAAGAATCAATATCAGTTCTAAAAAAACAATAGCGAGTTTCAGAATGAATGCTCACTTGACGGTGATGGAGGGGATTTCACCGAGGGTCACCGACGATGTGGAGGTCGCCGGCGTCCTCAGCATGGGCAAGCTCGTGGTTGCGGTTGCCGCAGTGGTGTGGCGGAGACGCTAGAGGAGGGCTTGGTTGCGGTTGTCAGCAGTGATTGGATACAAATCCTCTGCACCAGAGCCCCCATCGCTGGAGGACTCCATCAAGGTGACTGAAACCCTAGGAATCCATCCCGGCGTGGCGGCGGCGGTGGCGGTGGCCAGGCGCGTGGTCAGCGGGCTCGCCGGCGGCAGCGTCGGTGGAGATGACGGCGGCCGAGGGCCCGACGGTGACGACCGCCCGCGACGGCTCGCGCCGTGGATGGAGCGAAACTGCCGGCCGCAGGAATCGCGAGGGGACGGACGTGGGAGCGCCGGGCCCAGCTATCGTGAGGGAGGCGAGGTGGAAGCCGGGTGAACGCAGGGTGGGCGCGATGGGGGCGCGGCGGCGGCGCGGCCAGAATCACGGGAGCGGGTATCGCACGGGCGGCAGGCAGGAGGATAGACGAATGTCGCACTAAAAGATCCACGCTTTGTCCTTTTAGTTGTATAAGAGATATAAGCCTGTTCGCTTGTTGGTTTCAACCAGCCCAAACTAGTCAGCCAACAATGTTTTTCTCTCACAAAAAACCAGCACCAACTAGCCTAAATCAGCACCAGCACCAACCAGCGAACAGGCCCTATAGGCTTTAGACATGGATCTGCTGCCTGGTACAGCTGGAACCTATATGGCTCTATCTGAACAAAACCATGTCGATTTCAGAAAGTTCCCAACAATTGCGCATGCTGTCCCATATTTTTAAGGTAAGCGATGCAAAGCATGCCCAAATCAACATGGCAGCTGAATTGGGTCTCAAACTCTCAATCTACAGCATTTGAGCGCTCCCAATGCATTAGCAAGACATGATGCATATCAGAGACTGTCGATGCTTACAGGTTGGAAGAACTGAAAATTTGTACGAGTGACGTCCATGTCCCCGACACCGCGAGCGCAATCCCGATAACGATGACGGCCACGTCGGCGACGAGCTCGGTCCACCCCATCTCAGCGCTGAAGACCTTGAGGTGGAAGGCGGCGGGCAGCACGAACCCGAGCACGACGCAGACGCTGCTGCCGACGAGCGAGATGAAGTCAGCGAAGTTATGCACGAGCATCGCCAGAAAGCCCGACGACCACGACAAGGATCCAGCGCAGCCACCAGGCGTAGCGCCTGCCACAGAGAAGGCGCTGCGCGACCTCGTAGACCGGGTTCATCGACACTGGCATGGTGAAGAAGAGGTTGATGCATAGGCCGAGCTGCACGAGGACCGAGAGCCAGCCGGTACCGAGGTTGGTGGTGATGATGTCCCGCGTGGCGGCGCCGAAGGCGAGGTAGCCCATGGCGCCGAACAGCCCGTACATGACGGCGATGAACGCCATGGACAGCGCGAGCGTGGCGCCGAACCTGCCCTTGTCCGCGGCCTCCGCCTCCAGAGGCAGGACCATGCCGATCGCCTCGAAGGCGTAGACGGCTACGCCGAGGCCGTAGACGAGCCAGATGGAGGCGTCCTGACCCAGGACGACGCCCATGGCGCCGAGGTCAACGACGTCGGCAAAGATGCTGAGCGGCGCAAGGAGCGTGAGCGTCTTGATGGAGTTGAGTCCTAGCTGAAACGGCAGCATGGCCCAGATGAAGAGCGCCTTGGCCATGAGGAGCGGGGACGCCGGGGAGTCGGCCCCAACGGGGTAGAGGTGCGCCATGGTGTTGGAGATGAAGATTTGACCTGGCTGAGAACGAGCATGACGTCGACCGCGTGGCGGCCGGGGGCGCCGCAGATGGTGTGTTCGTCGGCGATCCGGCGGCGCGCGGCGACGAGGAGCATCATGCAGTGGATGGTGAGCGCGGCGACTGCGAGGAGGAGCAGCGTCCCCGCCGCCCAGCCCGTGCGGGAGAAGGTGTAGGGGAGGCCCAGCACGCCCGTGCCGACGACGGCGATGAAGACGTTGGCGAACGTCTTGGGCTGCGACGACAGGTGTCCGCCCGCGCCGGGGCCGCCGCCGTGCAGCCCGTGCTGCGGGAGCAGCGGCGCCGCGTCGAGCCGCGTGGACGAGGAGCTCGCCTCCTTGTCGAGTCCCATGGTCCAAGGATTCAGCCGCTGGATCAGACGAACCGAGCAGGGAGCAGGGAACCAGCTGCGGCGGTTCGGAGCGTGGCGTGGCTAGCTGGTGTCGGAAAAAATGGGAAGCTAGGTAATTAACGCTGCGCGTTGCTGAAGGAACCGGAGAACTGATTTCTCGCGCGTTGCCGTGGGAACTCAAGAATTGATTTCTCATAAACAAAAGATGAAGAATAGATACTGTATACTGATGTGTCAGGGGATTGTAGAGAGTCTTCTTCGTGAATGTGTTCAGTTTGACATCAAGTATGCAAAGAAATTGTATTCATGAATTTGGCATATTTTATTGGAGGAAGCGTCTGGCGCCTGGACTTCCCAGTGATAAGCCAATCCGTCAATAGACTTATAAACAAATTAAAGCTGCAAATAAGAGAGCTGTAATTAGAAATCTAGTTAATCTAAGGAAGAAATACATGTGATGGTGATCTAATAATGATCCGTATACTTGCCTTGGGATGACTCTCTTCTAGTCTATGGGCACATACGTGGTAACCCAGTAATGACCATGATCAACACCATGGTCAATGTAACAGGCTAACAACACACCTTAAAGTTGATGCAGCCATGGCCATGAAGGAAGATTAACCCATCACGTACTTGAGGCCATGCGTAGAGCTGAAAAATACTGTTCCGGCTGATTGTTTTAAGAGAAAAATACTGTTCTGGTAGGACGTGAACAGTGATTTCGTGAGGTGGCTGGCCAGCCAGCCAGCCGAACACTGCCCAGCAGATATTGGCGATGATCCGCCCACCCTATGGTCTCCGTGGTGGAGATGTATGGCCTGCAGAGATGCATGGTGATCGGTGAGAGCAGTGGGCTTTTCAAGCAATTCGAAATGAGTATATATAGTGGCCAGGTCCTGCTAATAGGATCATGTGAAGGATCTGGATATTTGTAGAAGGAAGTGTGTTTGTTGCATCAGTTTCATAGTTTCACATTTAATGTGGCGACGTTGGTAGTGCGCATTGTGCAAGTTTCAGTTTATGAAATGTTTAGGCGCTATGTCTCTTCATCGTCTGCAATTGCTGCTGAGTGCATGCATGCGGGCAGTTATCGAGAGGGAACGGTTGCTGCTGGGTGCATCCATGTGGGAAGTTATAGAGAGGGAAGCCGAGGATAGGCTAATGGAGGATGATATATGAACGGATAGATGCAAAGGGTAACGAAAAAAGAAGTGACGTGGCTTAACGTGGTTGCAGCTTTATAGCAATTAATGATTGCCAGTGGCCTCTATCTGTATAGGTTTGGGGAACCTCGTGCCGAGCGTTTCCTCGTTTTGCTTATTGCAGAGAGGCTGCTATGTTGTGTTCGAGGGCCATCAGTCTGGAGTTTACTCCAACTGACCACACACGGACCAAGTTCATAGGTTTCTAGGGCTTCTCAGGGCAGGAACATTGCTATATGTCTCGTTCAATGCCACGTATGATTTTTTATGATGCGGAGCAAAGAGAGAGGGGAGAGAGAAAGAGATTGATGATTAAAATTTAGGACTATGAGACAGCTATTGTAGCATTTGAGTTGTTGTTGTCATGCAACTCCCAACTTTACTTTTATTCAAGCATAAATTAAGGAACCATGAGTTACTATGAGGCAAATTAAAAGACAACTATTGTACATATAATTTATTAAGTCGTTTTAAATTACTTGGCACTATATGAGACTACATACGAGATAATACCAATGTACTTGTCTTTACAAAAAGTACAGCTACTATCCAGAGGGAGTTGTTGCCTTCAACTCAACAACCAACTCAAATGCCCCCTCGCTTGATGTTGATGACTTCTGTCATCAAAAACCAGTAGCTGTCTGTCAACAGCGCAGGCCCAGTGGCTTCCGAAGGAGCAGTCGCTGGAACCAGGCCATCACCAGTTCAGCCCAAGAGATTGATGAAGCCTAGTGCCAGGGTGATTGGCCCATCTTGGGTCAACTAGGGTCATAGTATAAGTAGCAAGAGGGATGTGAGAAAGAGAACCAGAGAAATATGTAAAACCCTAATTCAATTTTTAATCATTCATAGTAGCTTTACTTCCGCAATTCTGTTCTTCCTGTATCAATTTCTTGCTTCCGCACCGACGGTGCTAACACCTGGTATCAGACGTCTCGTTACCAATCCTGGTCGTGCCTTCCCCGCCACCTCCTCCTCCGCCGCCCCCAACCCCGCACCACCACTACACCCGGCTAAATCGCGCTCGCGGCGCCATGGAGCCATCCTTGAAGCACATCCTCGACGCGCTCAACGCCCGCTTCGACGAATTCGACCGCCGTCTTGATGACCACGACCGCGCCTTCGCCGACCGCATCGGCTCCGTCGACTCCCGCTTCGCTACTTTGGAGTCTTCCATTTCCACCCAAGCTACTGGGCTCGAGCGGCGTTTGGCGGGCATCGAGTCCCGGCTTCCGGATCTGGTGTCCGCGTCCGTCGAACAGCGCCTCGCCTCCCTCGAAGCCTCCTTCGCCGACGGCCACCGCCCCACCACTCTGGAGTTCAGCAACGACGTGACCTTCAAGCCAGAGTTCGATCCGCGGGTGGCCGCGCTCGCGAAGGTCTCGGTGGATCTAGAAGCATGGCGCCCAGGCGTGGATGGCGTCCTGGATGACATCCAGAAGGACGTCCAGAAGCTGGTGAAGTCCCTCGACCGCCAGGTGTTCGACGATTCGTCTCACCGGCCTGCCACACTTCATTCACCACCGGCGGCGACTGCGTTGGCTCCAGCAACCGGTATGCACGCCACACCGCCCAGCGGGCACCGCGTCGACATCAGTCCACGGGATGCTGGGTCCGGAGTCGTCACGACTTGGACCCATGTCCCGGCCAATGGTATGCTTCCTGAACATCAATCTCGTTTTGCTGTGCCTGATTTTCGTCCGCCTCCTATCGTCATTCCACCGCGTCCGCCACCGGATCTAGTTCAACATCCTCCTGCACATCTGTTTCACCCCCCTCCGCCTCCCCATCCCAATTTTCATCACAAACCCCTCCATCTCCACAATTCCCCTCCTATACCAACCATTTACCCTCCCTACCCCGAGCCCAATCGCCCCAATCAGCTCACTGGCCGGCTTCCTAAACTTCCCTTTCCAACGTTCGATGGGGTTAACCCGAAACGTTGGCGTTCCCTCTGTGAGAAGTATTTCCTCACGTATGCTGTCGATCCCTCTATCTAGATTGGTCTGGTTGAACATTATATGGAAGGACCAACAGTCATTTGGTACCAATCTATCGCCCCACAACTTCCCTCGGCCACTTGGGACTCCTTCTGCCAATTGCTTCATGCACGCTTCCATCGTGATCAGCATGAGCATCTCCTTCGTCAAATGTTCAGTATCCGCCAACAGACCTCTGTCACAGCTTATGTCACTGCTTTTTCCCAGTTAGTTGATCAGCTCATTTCCTATTCTCCTAATGCCGATCCACTTTTCTTCACTCAGCATTTCATTGATGGACTTCGTTCCGACATTCAAGCAGTAATTCTAGTTTAGCGTCCCCACAATTTCGATGCTGCTGTTCGTCTCGCTTTACTGCAGGAAGAGGTGGGCACGGCTCCTACTCTGCGAGCCCCGCGTGGAGGTGATTGGCCGGCTGCTTTTCGTTCCCGCCTTCCAGCAGCCGCAGCGTCTTCACTGCCGCTGCCCCCGCCTCCACCATGGGCTGACAAGCCGGTGGTCCAAGTTGATGCTGCTCAGACTGGGGCAACTGCTCAGGCCTCCAATCAAACCATGGCGGCTATCAAGGCGTATCGGCGAGCTCTGGGTCTATGTTTCAAGTGACACGCCAAGTGGAGTAAGGATCATGTTTGTGCTCCCGAGGTCCTGCATGCAGTCGATGCTCTCTGGGAGTCCATTTCTTCAGAAGATTCGTTGGCTGATTCCGTTGAGGAGTTTCCCCATCCAGAACAGTGTTGCTTAGCCCTCTCCAAATCTACAATGTCTGGGGTGCCAACTTCCCGCTCCATCTGCTTCGTCGGCTTGTTGCAGACCATACCAGTGCAGATTTTGGTCGATTCAGGCAGTTCATCATCTTTTGTGAATCAAGCCTTGGTTCCTCGCTTGACAGGTGTGGTTTCAGTCCCAGTGTCTACTTCTGTCTTAGTTGCTGGTGGGACTCAGCTTACCACCTCGGCAGTCCTGCTTCAAGTTCCTTGGTCAGTTGGGGATTGTTCTTTTCAGTCTGACTTCAGGGTGCTACCACTAGGCACCTTTGATGTGGTGATTGGCATGGATTGGTTGGCCGCTTATAGTCCCATGCAGATTCATTGGCGGGAAAAGTGGATGGCGATTCCATACCAGGGACAATTAACTGTGTTGCAAGGGCTTCCAACTTCTTTTCCTCAGCAATTGTTACTTCACATTGCTTCAGTAGATGCTGCTGACCAAGCTGAACCGGAGTTGCAGCCATTGCCAGTTGAGCTACAGTCACTGTTGGATGCTTACTCTGATATGTTTCAGCCACCTACTTCCTTGCCACCGTCCAGGGCCTGTGATCATGAGATACCCTTGATACCTGGAGCAACTCCTGTCCATGTCCGACCTTATCGGTACCCACCAAAGCTCAAGGATGAGATTGAGAAACAAGTGCAAGACATGTTATCACAAGGGTTGATTCGCCACAGCCATAGCTCATTCTCTTCTCCAGTGCTCCTGGTACGTAAAAAAGATTGCGGCTACCGCTTCTGTGTGGATTTTCGTCACCTCAATGCCTTGACCTTAAAGTCCAAGTTTCCTGTACCGGTCTTCGACCAACTCATGGATGAGTTAGCACATGCTCGCTGGTTTTCTACTCTGGACCTACGGGCTGGCTTCCATCAGATTCTGTTGCGTGAAGGGGAGGAATTCAAAATAGCCTTCCAAACACACCTCGACCAGTACGAGTTCCGGGTGATGGCATTTGGACTCATAGGCGCACCAGGTACCTTCCAAGGTGCGATGAATGCCACCCTTGCTCCTAGATTACGAAAGTTTG